ACCTTTAAGCTAAGAGATTCAACACTCTCTCGACGGCAGTACCGTCAGAGGCTCTGAGGGAGTGAATTAGCGTAAAACACAAATTGCCAGTCACGTCTCAGTAAACAAATAAATAATCTTCTTTGCAATGCCCGCCGTCTGACGGCCACTAATAGCACGATGGTGATTACCGTTGCTTCTTCCCTCGGTAGAAAAGCAAGCTTCAATATGCATTTCTTGCAGGACATGTTTCGCTGCGTTTAACGTCTAGACGAGTGTCGAAATATACTTTGTGCCGATGCTTTGTAAAATATGTATGTATCATGCGAAATGTTTTATCAGACAGGGTCCGGGGCTAACTAGATGACTCTGAACGTTTTCGATTGCTTTTTAACCTTTCGACGTTCAGGTGTATATGAGATTTATGTTTACTGGGAAAGGCCTGACAAGAGCCGTCACGCGTACGAGTTCAGCAGTTGAAGTTTTTATGTGGCAAAAGACAATGAGAGTATCTCAATGAACCGGGCATCACTTCGTGTAACAACAACGCACAAAGTTTCATAGAAAAACGACATGAACCAGAGTTGTCAGCGGCTGAACTGCTTGTCACCTCTGTTGTTTGGGCCTAAACAGGGACTCTGCTTTCGGCTGATTCAATATGTAGACCCACTTCTCTCGTCTAACTACAGACTTCGATACAAACATCGATGATGAATAATATGTGTCCTGCTGTAATAATGGACTGTTGTCGGCAATGCGCTATGCGCATATACATCTCCCAGCGAATTTGTGTAACATATGCAAAATATAATACTCGTGGTGCTGCTGCTGCTGCAGCAGCAGCAGCAGCAGCAGCAGCACCACGAGTATTAGCGCCACCTGATGCTCAAGTTGACAAGGCCATTTCAGGCTAACATCGTTCAAGTCCCTATTGGAGTGTCGCGCTATACATCTATGGAAGTATTCTGAGGTAATGAGGAATACTTTCGCACAGCCTCTCCTTCAGATGAATGAACGGACGAGCGGCCAGCATATAATCTCCACCTGAATGAACAAATGAAGTATCATCTTCAGAGATCGCGACTGATGACTTCTTTGCATGGCATGGTGTTAATATATGGCATTAGCTTACCCTGCGCGCGCCCTTGACTAAGATCGGCCAACTGCGAGATGCGGATCTATCTTGGGTCCCGTTCAAAACTCTCGTAAGTTGGAGCTGTCTGTGTCGCTTGCATTTAATTAAAGAGCCTCTAACAAATCTTAGCAAACCGCCGCCGTCTCTGCTTAAACATCAAATATGTCACTGCTGCCGTGTAGCACAAAGGTCAATGATTAAGCAGGACCCAACATGATAGGTGTTTTGGTACATGTGGTATTTTTCTATGTCGAATTCTTCAATCAACGTCATGTTTTTTTTCTGGACGATTATCCTTTTCTAATCTGGATAAGTTTCAAATGCTCCATTTTACCTATTGTTTAAATTTAATAAAACCTGCACTATTCAAGAACGGGCGTTGTTTAGACTTAAACATTGTATTTATAGAGGGAATTCTATGAAACTGATTCAGCCAAACACCGATATTACCCAGTGGACTTAGTCTTAGCGACAGACGCTATTCCCATAAATCGTTGCAAGTACAAACAAGTTAAAGGAAAGAAAACGATGTGTTGCTTCGGAAAGCTCATACGCTCCAAAAAATCAATTACTTCTAGTTAGAAAGGCATAAATGGTCGACTTTGACAAATCGATACTTTCCCCATGTCATCTTTTCACCAGTGAAAAAAAGATCCGCTCCTGTGTTTCAAATCTCGAGCGAGAGTTTTGTGGTTGAGTTCTCGCAAGTAGAAGAAAATTAACGAATGTAATTAACGTACTGGGTTCTGAGCTCAGAAAACTCTAACAAATGAGCTATTACCGCAGCTGGCCAGCCGTCGCACGTATGTTCTGGGTCAGAGGTTCCAATCTCATAAGAATGGTTCTACAGACATTCTGCGTATGTCATAGATCTACCGGAGGGACTAATTATATGATGGTTCGTCGTCTACGAATAAATAACGTGCTCTGATATGCATCGTTTCTTCACCGGCGAACCGAGGTTTTACAATTTACCATGCCACCAGGTTTCTTTGTACAGCAGGGCATCTTTGGCTCAACTTAACCATCTTAAAGCAACGTGTGCCGTAATAAATTTGCTTTTATAGAAGAGTGAGCAGTCAAGCAAACTCTGTATTCTGTTAGCAATGGAAAATCTCTTATGACACGATGCCATTGGCTACAAGACTAAAAAAAAACTGGAGAACGTTAGCTTTTTATGTCCTGCCTAGATATGAACGGTCATAGTGGTCTGGAGAATATATCTGGAGAATATATATGGCATCTGTTGCTATAATTCTGAAAATAAAAAAATGTTAATACAGTAATCTAGTTTTGCCGAATTCGGCAAGACTTTTCAAAAATTGTGTAGCCTGAATCTGATAGATAGGACGAAAATCAGGGCAACAGGGTATATATGATGGTGTTGTGTTGTTGACGGGGTGTCCTCCACTCTTGGATGGTTGAGCCGCTCTTTCCTCGCATATTATATCCCTGACAACGTTGCATTGCCTTACAAGAAATCACGTTCTTTAGAGGCACAAACAAATTGGACACCACATTTCGGGCCGGACGCATACGTCGAAAAACGTCATGTTTTACATACACTATTTTTTTTTTACAGTTACAAACATATATGTTTGTAAATGCCTTATTTGGTCCCGTCCAAGTTAAACAGACTTCTAGCACTGATACGATTGGTATATTTAATCGTCCCTGATCTTTGTCTCGCGCTTTGATTGCTCATTACAGAGATAATCCCGCGGGCGTGGTTATCGCTCATAGATATTTATGCTATATTCTGTTTGCTACATAAACGTGGAGTAATTATTTATAGTGCGAATACTAACTTATTTTACACAAGTTTTGTGATACCTAAGTGTACCGATGGCCTAGATCGTATGAACAGAACTTGTCAACCATCTCAGGATATCCAACCCAGGTTGTCAAACGCCACACAGCAACGACATTATCCAGAATGGTTAGTTCTGAAGAATTAGATTATCAAATATAAATTACTGAATATCACTTTTGCTGCATTATAAGAAACGTATATATAGTTTGGACGACGACAACAACTTCAGTTGCTGTTTATATATAATTATAATTAAATTGGAAAAGAATCCGCATATAATTGACTACCTTTTCCTGTTACCGCAGTTGTTGAAAAAAATGATCGTTCTGCTATTTCACAATGTTTAATATCTCGTTTATATTTTTTCTACATCCTCCCTAAGGTAGATTTGGATTGTATAGCATTCTAATCCTTAACATAAGGATCTAGTAAATGTAGCCGTGCTAATTGTGCCACCTACGTTGAACGAAGATTTATCATTCCAAAAAAATTTTACCGTTTACGTATCCGCGTGGCATTCGCAGGGATATATTTTTTTTTTATTCGGACCATGCCTATTGGCAAGATGTACTTTTTTAGGGTATACATTTTCCATTGACAATGCGCTGGACGTCGAGTTCAGTAATTACCTTCTAGATTTTTAGAATGTTGCAAGTGAAGCTCTTTGATATTCTTAGCCTTCCGCAACAGTTCTATCCATTTAAAATTCATCTTTTATTACTCGTAGGTCGTATAGGTAGATGTGTTTTAAACTCCCCGTTTGTTATTTCCACTAGCATTTTCTTTGTTTAAGGATTGATTTTAGTTCACTTATTTCCAAGCAATTACATTATGAACGAAAAAAAGTTTTTTTTTTTTTTTTTTTTTATATAATTATGACTTCTTAATGCTACCTGATTGGAAGTATAAAAGTGACAATTAACATGGCATCCACTGCGCTCCATCGCGTCTTGTTTATTAAATAACTAGGTTGCTATTTCATATAATTTTTAGCATTTGCTAATAAGATGGCCTTAAAAGTTGTCGCGAAAATGGTTTCTCTGTTATTTTATTGAATGTACGAATCAGTGACAGCCTTCACAAAGGCGAAAATCCTCGTGGGATTAATATACCTCTGAATGAAAAAGGGTATTTTTCTGCAAATACCATTTCACTTTAGTAGTATGTGAACTCCTCAAAGCAATTGCTTACTTTTATTTTCAGCCAATTTATTTGGATAGAATGCTGTATCAGGTTTTAAGCATGATATTTCTAGCTTGACTATTGTGGAATACTTTTTCTAGTCAGTATAAACAAGCTGTAGGCCAACTAACAGTAAGGAACCTAAGTACAGTGTATAATAACATATACCCTATAGAGAAAACCACGCTCCTAGGGGGCGTAGGGCTGACTGGACCTGTGTTTGCCTTAGCGGGCCAATAATTGTTAATTCAAGAACACTCTCTTGCGATACGCAGTGCTGTCGTTAGTATGAAGGCAGTGTACGATTGGGTAGTAGTATTTTTCCGCAAGTTATTGTTATGGACTATGGTCGCATCATAATTCTAGAACGTTTGGTGCTTTGGGGCCATGATGTTCGACATGGTTTCAAGATCCCTTAAAAGCGCGTCGTTTTCCAAATTCAGTGCGTTTGCATTGATGCTACTGTTAGGGACGAATGTCTTTCGATTGTGAACAAATAAACCACAGTTAAGTAAATGTCTAATTTCATTGTAGAGGTATGGAGTCCATGGCATGACATAGTATCGTGCATTGTTCCGATGGAAAATTGCTGAAATGGGGAAATGTCAAAATCATTTGCAGTTCCTTTAAGTATATAGAATCTCCATGACGTGACGACTGTATGCGAATTATGTACGAAATCCCTCACTATTTTGTAAGAATGTGTTAGTGGTGGGGTTTCATAACCGCACCTCATTTGACCGGCATAGGCTTTAGGTGACTGTCAAGTAACGCGCATAGCAAGTCTGTATAGCCTCACTAGCTGGAAAAACAAAATCTCTTTCGGATTTCACGAAAAGCAATGATTTCGCTAATACCGTTGGTGCAGTAGATGTATTTGGATACACTTACGTTGTATGAGATTTGATAGAAGGTTTGACGGTACACAAACCAGTAAAACCACGATATCAATAAAGGCGAGATTGACGATTAAGTAATTAGTCACTGTTCGCATACGCGGAGTTCGAGCCACCACCCAAATCACGCAGGAATTGCCCACAAGACCTACAATGAACACCGATAAATAGCCAATGACCAACAGTACGCTGATATCCACATCATAGCGATAAATTAAATCTAGTCCAGGATCAGTTTTGGACACTGTCAAAGCCCGCGAGTCTTCCGAGCTCACGTTCGTCAGGTCCACCAATGTTAGCGTGCCGTTCATTCTACAACATCGACGAGCTCGCTCGGAGCTGATACTCCATCAACGTGCAACAGTAAACAAATATCTTATCAATGGAATAACAAGTTATCATAACTACTCACGCTTTCCCAGCCACTTAGAATGCAAGGATAGAAACAACGAGCAACGTATATAGTGAATTTTTCACACAGTCGAAATGAAATATTGTCTAGTAGTGGTGGTCTTTGGTTGGCGTTTCATCGTGCAGGTCACATCTTTCCTTTCAGCTTTGCCTCTCCAGCTAATGGTATGGCCGTCGACCTCCATCTTTTCACACTGCTGTTTCAGTATCCTTTTTTTTCACAGGAGTCACTGGTCTATATCGAGCATGTACAAAGGATTCACTTGTTTCAGATATATTTAACCACAAAACGTTTGCTTTTGGTCAGCGGAACAGCCAACCTATCAAAAATGTTGTGAAGTGATGGTTCTTTTAGATAGTACTTCGTTGATAGGCAACTTTGTTGCGTATGTCCGTGTCTTCAGGACACATCCCGTTATTCCAGCAACCGGTGATCATGTCCTTCGATTAACTGAGGAAAACTCCACATGGTGCCCACGGTTAGGAAAGGGTCGCACACTGGGAAAGGGCCTAGGGCGGAGCTATTGTAGATCGTTGTCGTAAAGGCGAATTTAACAGGCCTGGAGCGGAGACGAGCCTCATTCGCATGAGTGTCGTTTCGTACCTACTTATATATATATATATATATATATCTATATATATATATATATCGGCAATAAAAACGTGGTGTATTTTCATTCAAAAAGGATGCTTATTAGGACAGTTTCCCGATCTGGCAATAAAGTCAAACACCTCTTAGGCCAAAAGAAAACATTTTCAAGATAATACAAAGGTGTTAATAGTCCGGCTTTACTCGAACGTGTAGGATGTCCTTTAAACCGTTCCCATTCTAAGGTACTGTTCTGTATACAATTCAGTAACGGAGTAAAATTCGGAACGGGATAACATCTTGTAGGTGCTTTTTTCGGTTTATCTCTAACTCGTTCGTCCAAGCAAACACAAAGGACAATATACATAGTTGTTCAACCCAAATGTCTCGCTATCACTTGCCATAATACGACTTGAATTAAACTTAATTAATTAAATGAGAATTGAACGAGAGATCAATATCCTGGCAATTTTTTTAAAAGCCGTTTTGTTGACAAATTCATTGTGAGATGTATTGTACAATCCATGTAAAGGGAAAAAAAAAACCCATAATCTCAATTTGTCCCTTAACCCAGAAAGCTTATCTATCAGAGGCTTAGTTTTTAAACTCTCTTTAACATAGTACACATATACTCAACGATCCTTTGCTCGTTTTTAACAGGTACTATGTAGGTAAAATATTTATACATTATTTAACGGCTAAATTCATGTGACATCATACTCTTCTTTGGCCTCTTACTTAAGCAATCTTATACTTACCTAAGCAAAATAGAGACTTACACTAGATACTAATACCTACATCTTAAACAATTTCTTTTTCATTGCATCTTACCAAGGCGAAATATTTATTTTTAAATTATCATATGTATTTGATGGGTGGATTCAGCACACTTGCTTACAAGTTCGCTTCCTGTCAGTGGCATTCGACAAAGCTGGGGCTCCATCTACAAACTGGAAAAGGGTCGATATAGGATCGCCTTCTTTGCTTTACAGAACGTATAAAGCCCATCGGCTTTGCTCAAGGAAGTGTTCGTGTATCATTCCGATTATCCTCGACACCACCTGCACTTATGAGAAAATCGTGTATTGCAATCACATTCAGCCACGTAGCCCACTTTAGGTATTTACTTTGAACTATAAAGATCAGTTGCATTCGCCACAGATGGTGGCGTATCGAACTACGTCTAGTTCCAGGTTTCTAGCGTTCCAAAGGTAACTCATGAGCGTCCACACGTGAACACACAAACTTACATCCATCTCTATTTATTCTTGTAGCGTTTGTTCTTGTCTTGTATGTAAACGAAGTACATTATTATAAGTGCGACTGACCAATATTCAAAAGCACTTGTCCAATTGCGCCCGTAATTTTTCTAACGATGCTACGACTTTGTACGACATTTTTACCTATTTTTTGCATTGTTTATCAATCTCTCTAATCCAGGTGGCTAGGGCCTAAAAGGCTAGCGGTTGGAAAAGGTATTGATTACAGCAAACAAGTTCTCTGGTAACTGGAAGCTCCTGCCGCCTGCTAACGCAGTGAAATTTGAACAGAATTAACTAGCTCAATCGCGTAAACAGATTGACTTTTTGACAGCTGTTTAGGTACATAAGCATATACAAGAGCACAGGAATATACCATACGTTTTCTATTGACGCAATGTACAGGACTATCGTTACAGGTGTATGAGGGCTCGACAGGTTAAGAAAACATGGACACATCTACGCTGGGATTTATACGATAGGCTTGTAGTAAAAAAGCAAAGGTCTCTCGTTTGGGTGAAGTTTGAGGATTGAGTTTCGAGTCCATTATTACTTGCATCGATAATCTGATACTGAATGGGCAATCTTGTTTAAAGTGATTGGTCATGCCAAGTTGACAGACTAAAGAACTAATTATCTTTATTAACACATAGCTAGCTAGAAATCAGTTCAATTTTTTCAGTTTGTGCAATTACCTTAATTTGGCGATCTTTTTTGAGGTTGCACCCATTAAAGTCTAATGTGTGCAGCCTTAAAATAAGATTGCCCCACTGAGGCCCACCACAAACGATACTGATTTGGGTCTCTGTTAGGATAGACTTCCTATTTTAAGTTGGTTTCAGAGTATTACATTAGGCGACAGGTGTTAATGACCTATAATTCGTAGCCTGAGGATCTAGCGTCACTTGGCGATGACTCGATGCTGGAATGAAAGTAATATGTCGCTAATGGACTACCACCCGAACGCGATATAATTGGAACATTAGTATTTTTTGGCCGCCTATTGCACCAATAACTGTAGCCACTCTTAAGGACATGCTTTTGATACAGGTTTTTGCTGTCTGAGTTGTAAGCGGACCTGTTGTCATATCTTGATAATTTTTAACGGATGTTCCTTCCCGAACCTATGATTTTACGATTGTTCAGAGATTTTTTATGGGATTAAGGCCTGTCGAATTAGAAAGGTGCGGTAGTTCCTGCTGGCTATTGGCAACAAGTAGCCGAAACATACATTATGCTCTATTACCCCAGTGCCCTTGCAAGAAATTATAGATTACATCATGTTTTTTTATGGATGTTTGGTGGCACGACACACGAGTTTTTGACGGATCGTTCACAAATACGTCTGAAGGCATGATGGGCGTCGGTTTCCCGAACCCAGTCACTTCGAATCGGCGTCGTTTTCAGCATCAGGAGCCCACGGTTTTCTCACGGTAATCTGCTCTAAGGAAAATCGCGAAAGCGAACGAATCTTTTGAAGTTCGTAGAAAATAGCCACACGATTTGCCCGCTTTGTCGAATGCCGTTTTTGATACCTAATGCGGATTTTTCGTGACGACAACGAAAAGCTTTCCCTCCGTTTCTGCGTACGCGACTGCATGCTGGGAAAAATGAAACATTTAAGCAGTTTCGCGTTGTATACATCTTCTTCCCCACTTCAATATTTTATGAACGAAAAGTCACCAGAAAACACATAAAGCAGTCAAGCTCATTTGAAGACCATTACTTAGTTGTTCAGCTCTGAAAACGGTAGCGTTAGTCACTTAAATAAAACACGCCAACTGCATATTACGAGATTTTAGCACGAATTGTGGTTGCTGGATTTTCTCAAATCCATTTACACTAAAATCATACGCCTACAATACATCTATTTTATATATCAGCAGCTGGAACATATTTGCCGATATCTGTGTCGAGGTACAGAAACCAGTGCAAAAATTAAATACCTCGCTTTAATGCTGCGGAATCAACATTGAAGATCGGAGCTATTTTATTAAATTTATTTGAAGCTATTTGTTTTTGGAGCACCGACTGACTACATGAGTCCTTCAAATCGGGTTAGGGTTCGGTGGGTCTGACCAACTGCAAATGCAGTTTCTTGGCCAGACGACAACTTATCATTAGCGAGGTAACAGCTCAAGGTGACGTACTTTACTAAGCAGACGTAATTTGAGTATACAAGGGGGTAGTTATCGTAACGTACCATCATGCTAGCCGAAAATGAGTGGGCACTGCCTACATTTGAGCAACACATGAAATGAATGAACAAGCCCCTGAGCGTTTCATTTAAAGCCACTGGGTCGTTACCAGACGTATAAGTTCTGATTAAGCGACGGCTAATTTTGACTCGACATCTCGGTTGTAAAAAAACTGACCTAAGTTATATAATAAAGGAATACGCTTTAAAACCAGAGGTAATTACTAAACAGAAGTGGACGTTTTGGTGCTTTGTCTCTTTGACCTTGATATTGTTTATAGCTGTTATACTTCTCGAATGTATACACCTTTATGAATCAACTCGAGAAAGAACAAAGACTAATAAAAAGTAAACGTTTTTTTGGAATAGTTTAAAGTTAATCGTTAACCATATATTAATCATAGTAATAGAATTTTACCGAAAAAGTTTATAGTAAATCGAGCACATGGCTTTGTTCGTTAACTTCTAAAAAATCAGGAATACTGGAAAAATCAATTCTGAACTACACATTCTATAACATTGTCCTTATTCTGCGTCAGCGTATTCACTCAACGAGTGAGGTTTGCGCGCCTGTAGCTCCGACACTTGGGTGGCACTGAGACGTCAAAGGTCGTCCATGTGTGTGAGTCGGAAGAATATATATCGAATTATATTGTTTTGAACGAATAAAAAAAGCTTCGTTGTCGTCTCTCAGCGAAAAATAAAATTGCACTGCCTTCACCGTGCCATACGTCTTTGTCCGATTGCAAATTGCGCTCGAATAACAGCAGCAGGAGCATTTCCTATTCGACCTCTCTGTGCTGCTCAAGGCCCTATACGTCTATAAAAAAAGCTGTGCTACATTATATCATCTCGTTCTTTTTCCGCATGCAAATAGAAAAGTGAGCAAACTAGCTTGTGAGTGTGGATTTGGTCACGCTTTCAACCCAAAGATTCCATCGTTAAGTGGTTCTCATCTTGTCTCGATTTCCGCTCTAGTACGTGCCCGACACCTCGAAGAGGAAACGACCGGAATGAATCAGACCATCCGCGCGAGCTATTGATGTTAAATGACAAGTTCGGTTTTTTGTTTCCTCTGTAGGACCAACTGTCTAGGAATTAGTGGGGTAACGGCTTCTTGCAAATACCATTGCATTAATGGTGCATCAAAAAAATTGTCAACAAGTCACACCCCCAATAAATTGTCGCGGCACAACGTGTTGTAGATTGATAACTAGTAACTGGTTAATATTACTACGATGAAGATAAGCGTATCTATCTGCGCCATTTGTGTTCTTCAGTCAATAGTCAACATATTCAATTGAACTTTAGAACAAGTAGCCAAAAGAGAAAAGAACTTTAGATTAAAGTAACTCACGCATTACCCGGCATAGTTATTGCCAGCTCGGTACCGGCTATATACTACAGCGCGACAGTTCGCAACGGTAGAGAGCGCGATATTTCTATCCGATAAAACAGACACCCCTGGCTACAGACCTGTTAGCAGTAAGGCGTTGGATTAGTACAGCGTCCTTTTTACGAAACACCGTACTCAAGGAGGTATAAAAGAAAGATATTGACAGGGCGTACCTGGGGACTCGGTTTTACGATGATATTTCATATGGCGAAAACAAATGGAGAATAGGCCTAGACTCTGTGAGATTGATTGTTACGTCGATAAGTCATATTCACTTGTTAAGCTACCGAGTCTCCGAATTGTTTCCAAAATGTACATCGCTTTCGGCATCTTCTTGGAAAAGCTTGTACTGTCATATTTGTTTCGATGGTCGGCGCTTCCCAGTAACGTGTATCGTAGTGTCCGATAGGTAGAACATAATCGTACTCGTAGTAAAAGAGCTAGGGGCAGTCAGTGCTCAATGAGTAGTGAGAGTTCGTATGAGCTTTGTTTTTATTAAAAAGTATTTAGCACTTTATCACACAAATCGTTAGAAAAACTTAACACTGAAGCGCATCTATTAAAGCTACAAAATCCTATATCATAGCTGTAGTAACTTAAATAAAGGAACGTTTAAATAAACGCAGTAAATCACTTGGGCGTCAAATCGATTTCTATATAAACTAATCAATTTAGGAAGCCTAGTCTTTAATATTATTATAAGGAATCGAACAATATTGAATTAATATGTGCAGGAAAAACTCTGTCTTACAGTGCTTATAGGATTAATTATTTGAGGTAAGCCATATAAAGATTGGAAATCGTACCTTGTTGTCTACTTCCCGGCTTCTTGAACTTTCAAAAGCGTTCTTACTGTGGCCGCAAAGATGGTCTGGTGTTCCAGCTTTAGACTGCATGCAAATGATCACCCCTTTTGATGTCCTAAGTTTATTCGCGTGACCAGCTCTATAATTACATGAAGGAAGATCCTCGGAACACGTTGAAAAAAGGTGGAGTGAAAGAAAGATCTGCGAACGAAAACTAGCGCGGATGCGTAATCTATTGCAACAATGTATTGCTAGTCATCTAATCGGAGGAAGATGATTTGTTCGTTTTCAGATCACCCAAGCGAGGCCCGGATATGCTTAATAATCAAGGATCTCATTTGGTTTCTGGCGAGAAAGCCAACTCAGAAAGCATCAGATAGACAGGTCATTACTGGCGTCCGTTTCCTTTTCCATTTGCCTTCCAAGGATCATTTGCTTGGCATTGAACATACATTGCGCTCTCGGGTAAACGTTCAAGACAATATGATGAAGTGAGATATGAGCTTGTCCGATAGACAGATAACTGTACGAGATGGACGGGTTGAAACTGGCCTTTCTTTGACCGGCCTCATGTCTGCGGAAAGAAATCTCGGCGAAACAGGGTAGTGTTGAACGGATCAGTTTAACAGGACGACACTCGTAATCTCTCTGGGCAATAGCAATAGTTGCGCTCCTAGTGAAAAAGAAGTCAAGCCAAAAAATTCTATGTATATTTTTGGATCTACAGGCATATGTGGCTAGGAAATAATAAGGGGATTTGTAAATAATAATATAGATATATCCCGAAAGCCAGGCTAGCCTGCTTTTTAATTTTCAACGTTATGTTACACTTGGTTCAAAACAGAAGTTGATGGTAACAAGTACTGACATAAGTCAAAGACAGTTCTTCTGAAAACATGTAGTTAAAAGAAAAAGAAGGCCACTTTGACAGCCAAATAGTTACTCATAGATTACAATAAAAAATATCTCTTATGTAGAATTTGTTATATATAATGGGAATTTTCACTGTAAATTTTGACCTAATTGCCGAATTAAACCCTGGTTACATCTTATACATAGCTTTGCGGTCCAACTCGAATTTACGCATATTCCTTTATCAGGCTTACTAGCTAACCAAGGTGGCGTGCATTTACTGACGAACTCTGTCTATAATGCTTCCAGCACTATATTGATTGTTAGAGTGTCATCTGCTAAGAAGCAATACCAATATGTCACGCAGCTAAACAACTAACGGATAAGCTGACTGGAAACACCGCGCGAACATTCAAACAAGCAAGGAAACCATTTGCTTTTTCCGTCCGGCCGCAACTACTCATTAAAGGTCACTACTGAAACAAAATAACATTTATTTTGATGTTAGTGTTTCGTTATGTTTAAGGCGCTTAGTCCTTAAGCCAATACAAAATAGGTTTTTCGATACACAAAGCTATCAACTTTGCCTTTTTTTAGCTTTAAGCGTCTGCACCTTAACCGGTTGTATGAGGTGGTCGTAGCAAACGGCTTCGGTCAATTTTGTGTTTGTATTCAGTTAGATATACTATCTAAATGATCTCGATGCTTATGAAGGTTGAGAAATTTGAAACAGAAACACTTCAAAAATGGACTAAAAGCAAAGGTAACGTCGGGTCGAATTTGGGTAGAAAAACGATAAAATCCATTCTTAGTCGATTTTGTATTATATAATATATTTTTCCTGAATTCTTTTGGTTTTCTTGGTAATCTGACAACATATTGTAGAAAACACTCCAGAAGCTCGCTAGGAAGACGATAAACAGAGAGTCTCGTGCGAGAAGGTTCAAGTTCGTTCGACTACATGCTACCAGCAAAACAAAGACAAAAGAATTTGCTAGGTTTATTGTTTAAACATAATAGGTTTAATCAATTAAGAAAAAGCTTCTATAAGCGAATGAAAACAACGAATAATAGGAAATTTACACGGGATGCTACGAAAAAGAACAAACTCCTATTTTATGCCACTTGATTTAAAGTAGAACGTATTTGACGACCCAAAAATAACTAATCTCAGACATGATCAGTCAGGTAAAGTGACAACAAAAAAAAACATGTTATTTCTAGAAAGCGACTGTTAACGGACCGCAGCGGAATGAAGAAGTTGCGCAACACTAAGTGAGGTAGGAGTGAAGATGCAGCATAATATTATGCCGTCATAAAGAGGCCTGCTGTTAAAAAAGAAACAGCTTACAGTGATAAACAAGTATTTCCAGAACTCAGAAGTCGAGTCTACAATGTAGGTTTCATAAAATCACTACAAGATGCAGTAACCAACGAGCACAGATACGGTATATTAATGATTTTTTCACGCACGTACATGCTATGTGCTATATACAAACCAGGTCGTATGATGTACATTATGCCCATTCTCTATATAAAGATCCTGTTAAAAGTAGGTTTACAAAGCGGATAACTAACCACTGCAAGCCATAAATTCAATTTTTAAAGTCAATTTTCAAAATTTGCCCATTTCGTCGTCATACGCGTCTATTCCACACCGTCCGATCACTGGGTCTGACGGGATTCTCTAGTGTTCCGTTGTTGCCCGGTCCTAAATCGTCAGCTGCCTTATTCATCGCTACCAAGCCGCCGTATCGGTGACGTGTTTGACAGCTACCTCGCCCCGTCTTTCGAGGTGGTCAATAAGATGGCGGAAGCCCTGCACCAGTTCCATGCCAGATGGGATGATGAATTCGTTAGGCAAAATGAAACCAAATTGGCCTTTGTCCCTAAGCTCTATAACCATTGCATACTTGACCTTAGCTGAGTCGTGTACCCAGTCGATGGCAGCACCAGACGTGTGATCTGTAAACCGACAAAAAGCACAATAACTAATCGAAATCGTAATCGATAACAACATGTGGTAAACATAAAAGTGTGCTCATTCACACGTAAAATCGCCTATGCAATGACTATGAACGATTTAAGCTACATAGAACTAATATAGTCAATGCCATTGTTTCAAGTTGAACCTACTGTAAAAGAACATCGCCAGACTAAACCAACTTCTCCCACATGAACATAGAGTATACTTAATCTTCGTAGCGATTTTTTTTCTATTCCAAAACAAGATCAAAATCCTGTATATTAACTACTATATAAAAGAAAATATTACATGTATATGGCGTATGTAATGATCAAGGCGTAAATATACTTTTTGAGTGAACAGTGATTGGAACTTTTACCGGCCGAAACGCAAAGGCTTGAAAGTTATCCGCAGCTTGTCTGAATGCCAATGCCCAATTGTTTCTTTTCGAATTCGGATCTCAATTAGTGAAGTTGCCGTTTGAAACGTCTGAGTGAAAAGTAAGGTATAGGCAGTGAATGGCGGTATAGAATTTACCCATAAACTCTATACATTTTTAATGGAGATATGCATCCGAATGACAGTTCGGTAAGTGTATTACGGAAGAAGTAAGCCATGGACATCACAAGAACTGTCGAGCAGACGCTCCCCAGGGATAATTCAGTGGCGGCACCTGGTGAGAATTGCGTACGAATGCAGGGGAAACGCAATTGGCTCAAATAAGCGTGAGGTAGTCTAGTTTCGTGACGTAGCATTGTCATACTTTTTGCTGTTTTGGTACTTAGCCGTGTAAACCAATACTTAAGTAATGCCTTACTACATGTAGAGATGTTCTTTAGGCCACAAAAATTACTGAGAGGCTATCTTCGCGCATGAAAAGTATCCGAAATTGATCAAAAAGGCCATACTTGTAACCGGTTTCAGTAAGAGAATAAAGAAGTACCGCAAGTAGACATAGTGGATCGGAAGTTGGACGATGCCTATAGTCTTCCGTGAAGAAATTTGGCATCAAGATGATTCTTAACTTAGCCCTGGGGTATGTTTACTGTTGAGCATCCTTCTCGCTCATTTCTGTCACCCGAGACGCTTTATTATCATGGACCAAGTAACTACTGCTCTTATTTAAGCCATCTAGCATGGTCACTGTTGAATTTTAGATAGCAAAATCGAATTTCGTAATCATGCCTACGTCGCCGCAGCTGCGAACGCATGGAAGATCTTTTTACGGCCTGTTGGCTTTTGCTGGGAATATCTGTTTTAGTTGGTTGATTGTAAGAGGTACATACCAAGCAGATCTGATATAAAAATAGGCAGGACGGTAAGGTTATGGAGAGGAGGTTCAGTTATTCCTATGAATAGCAATATACGGATGCTTCCGACAGACCCTTTAGATAGTTTACGAAATGAGAATTTCTTAAGTGGTGCTATAAAAGAACTTTTTTAAAGTGCTTCATAAAGCTTTTGAGTGAGTCAAAGCGTTCGCGAAAGCTGCTTGCGGCCTTGTGCTATGGCAATTATCATAATTCTTTCGTACCAGGATTCAAGGCTTAAATCGCTAGAGGATCTGTGAAAAATAGGAAGGCATATTTCCCGTTTATAATATAATAAAATAATGATCCCTAGATAGGGATGTTCGATCAGGAAGTTAGATGCGTTTAGGTCTTTTATCTGTTCATATCTGCAAGCTGGTTTACTTATATGTTTCTCCGGTGACGAGTTCTAGAAATAGCAATAAATGCAACAATTATACTACAGAACCAAGAGCTTATTCAATCAGCGTACTATGCTGCCTTAAACTACGATATAGTTTAACGAATCAAGCCGTGCACATACTAAAACATACAAAACTAGAGGATCCTATGTACTAAGCCCCTTCGATCAAATACAGGCCGTTGGGGTTGTTCGATCAATAATTGTGGTCATGTTAACAACCATATTTTATTAAGATTACCATCATGGCCGACCAAATCGAGTTCAAGGAAATAACCTTATATTGAGCGATGTTTCTTTTTCTGTGTAACGAAACTTGGAATAAACGATATCGTACGCTCAATCACTCACTTAATGCCAACACATAACAAGTAAACGATTGATTGGAAAGTGGACAAAAATGAAATACGCGCCGCGCAATTTTTGTGGCGTGACCCACTGATGGACATTATCGAATACTAAAACAAATCGCACGTAAGATCGCAAAAACATCTAAACTCCGAGCAACAGAAAATACAGTGTAACTTCGGCCAAATAGAAAACAAGTGTCCATCTCTGTTTCAGATCATACATATGCACATCTATCCATTAAGCACACTGTTTTTCTTACGTGCATCGAACGTGCAGATACGACATCAATAATGATAATAATGGAAATTATTTATCATGTAGAGAAACTTGTTTTTCGGTCAACGCTAAACGAATTCGAAGTTCTACAAGAGTATCGGGCCGGTCCGACGTCACTGACGGCATCAAGTACGCGATCATTCATGTTCTAAAGGTTTCTCATATTTAAAATTTCCCTTCACAGCTAAATAGGCACATTTTTGCAAATAGCTATTTCTGAATCATATATGGCCGGCCGCAGTCGCGGTAGTAGTCGATTTTTCTCTACCATGCCACTAGTGGCCATACGATAGCTGTTATTTCGCAACGAATTTCCAATTGCGTAAGTAAATCATATTGGCCTTTATTTTACATATATAAAATACTTTTACGTTATAAAATTAACAAGAACATTTATGAAGGCTTGCTTAAAGGATTCCAACAACAGTCAGATAGTCAAAAATCAATAATCGGAACCTTTATATAATAACATTTATAGAATGTGTTTAAGCTCGTATAGTCAAAAATACATACGCATAGATAGGATCATGTGCGAAGAAATCGTTTGAGACTGAAGCTTAATGTTGACACATACTAGCTTGTTCAGAACTATTTCGTGAATTGGATAATATTTATGTAAGTATAAGCAGACCAGATGTGACGAACTCGACATTAAATCCTCCGGTATTTATGACTTTAAGCTGATTGAGCATGATCCGGGAATAATGAGATTAGACGAGAAGTATATATATATATATATACATGAGAGAGAGCGAGAGAGAGTAAGGACAAAGCTCAACAGCGGCTTATATAACTTCAGTAATCTTCGAGAAACGCCAGCGTTATATACCCTTCACGAGGTGGCGTAACGAAGGACAGAAGGGTCATATGATAATGCATTTTTCGACTAAACTTGGAACCGATCTGGTCTGAGTGTGAAGCTGCGTGTAAATGTAGGGCACTTCGTGAAGCAATGATTTGGTGTAAAGAAACGAAAAGAAAAATTATTTCAATACCCAGACGCTGACATATTTTCTTAGTTGAACATCACAAAATAGCAAAACTATTGCCAGTTGGTTATATTCTGCTTTATTGTCTGTAAAATATATTGCTCCACCCAAATTCATAGCACGCTTCCATATAATAAAAGTAGTTAATATAGGTTAATATTTCGACATTTATTATGTAAAAACAATTTGGCTTTTTCTAAAAAACATATTTTCAGCATTACATACGACAGGAAAAATCAACTAAGTATTTCATAGGTTTTTGGTTCCACTGACGTAAAGAAATACTTAACTATTCTATACAATTCTGTACATTGAAATTGGGTCCAAAAAAAAATGATGTGCTTCTAATTACAGCTCCTTTCAGTCGCACATGAATCTAAGAGATGCATCAGCATAACACGCAAGGCATTATTGTCAGAGCTCACTCTATGTAGCCTCGTCTTGTTCTACAATATTGAAATAAACTTCAATTGCTCCAATCTTTTAGCCGATAAATGTGTTTCCGTTAAACCTAAAGGTATAACATAGGTACTGAGATGTAAATGAGCTAACTTCATCAATGTACACACTTACACATCGTGTTGGCTGCGGTTCCGTAACGGAAAGTGGCATTAAACTGTGTTTTAAGTCCGTCAACAAATGCCATCATCGCAGCTGCCTGTTCGTCGAAGGATTCTGGCTTTACTTTTGTGTACCCGTACGGTGACATGACAACCTGAGAAAATAGAAAAAAGTCAATATTTTTTTTGATAACGATGCATAAGCACAGCACCAGCTTTACACATTTATCGGCACCACGGAATAAAAACAAATCCCTTTCATAGTAGGATTTCAGTCCGTACGAAAGGCTGACGAACAGGGTCCCACCACAGTTCCTCACGATAATATCAAAACGTAGATTTTCTTCAAAACGTTGATCAGAACGCAAAACATGCGACTGAGTCTCGGTGAGGGCGTTCCGAGAAGGACTAGACGCCTTATAGCGGTTATTTCCTATATTCCTTTCGAGATTATGGGAATTTCTGGTACAAGCACAGAAGTTGTCGTCAACGGAGATAGCAATTAGGTTCATGTTTCACTAAACGAGACAATGTATATGCATGCGTAGTTAAATATGGCCTTGTCTCTATCTGCATCGAAATGTCACGAACGAAAACAATACTTTGTGGCCTACTATAATGTTTTTAACCTTTAAATTTAACCGCACTTTTGGTTGGGCTCGATTTTTAGAAGTACAAAAAAGGCATATACCGTATTAAAAGGAGATTATGAATGATGCCAATTAAGTTGTACTATTAAGTTTATCTTCCCTGCTTTTACTATGACGTTAACTTTGTGATTATTCCTGGCCAATATTATCTCAAGTAGGTTTCAGAGGCAAGACGCCTCTCGGTCTTGAAAGAGATAAGTTGCTCAGGAATACCTTCTCCAAACAGATACAATTTCAGCCCAGCGGACTTTCTTGCGGACACTATAAGTGTTTAATTTATTCATATTACTATAAACGATCACGACCTAAATCATTTGCGTAAGGCAATCTTGTATAAGTTGAGATTCGGCAAACGTTTGTTTCGCGTTTCTTCGTGTCCAATTGACTAAGACATATTTTCCAACTGTGCTGTGATATATTTTCTGCGACGATAAGAAAAATACGTGAACACCATTACGAGTTGTATCGATGTACCACCTGGGAATACGAGTGAACGTTCAAGTAAACGATCAGACGGTCTCTGAGACGTGTCACACCATTTCTCACAGCCTGTGACTCCTTCTCAGAGAAGGCTGATGTACCACCGTAATTCTCTGCGCACGGATTAGCACTTGAGCCTCGTTCTGTAAATAGCCACACAACAACACAGGCTTATCTAAAATTCGGCAGAAGCAACCGCGCCAGATACGTATATGTGCATTATGTTTGCAAAATGTTCCTACTTTAATAGGATAACCAATCGTTACAGGGATCTGAAATAAATCTGGACTCTGTCTTCATTTTAAGCTTTAAACTAACGGCTAAAAAAATATGGTTCTACTATAGGTGTTTATAAGTCTTTTCACCTTTGCACAGTGACTCAGTAGTGAATATATCCAAAAAACAAATAAGCATTGACTTGAAAGTTAGCTTTACACGTTTGTTGGCCGATAGATAATAACCGGCCTTAACAATTTAGCCGGCGAGCTCCGATGAGGCACTCGGCGTGTCAGCTTTTTCATTTTAGACGAATCAAATTTTTAATGTACGTAAAAGTATTATAAACATGCCATAACTTATGGGGCTTTATTTTCTCTTTTATATGCAGTCTTTGATTAGTATTCCAATAAATGTTTAACCCTTGAAACTGGATGTAATCTCTGAGCTTTGAACTCTTTGGCCAGCAAGCTCACAACACGTTACTCAACGTGCAACACACTGACCAGATAAATCAAATTAACTGCTGAACTGTCCATCACCCCCCAACCCTAGAGGTTTTTAAGGAACATCTAGGCTCCTTGCTGTGACTAGCCTGGTTGGCATAGTACCACATCGTTATACATAATCATAGCAATAGGAACATAACGTCAAAATTCGACGTTTTCGTGGCACATTCGATGTTCTCATTGGATCAATTGTGATACTTAAAGGGCACCAGAAGCTATAGCTGAACGACTCGGAAGATGATTTCGACAGTTGTATAAAAGTATATGAGAAAAAAACTCCTGCAAAAGTAGTTCACTTGAATAAAGAAAAAGTTTCTGCTCATTATTTTTCACGGTTGCAAGCTTTAAGCAGGAGTTCTTTCATGCCACAAGTAATAACTGGAACTTGGAGCATCTGCGATGCTCTTGAGTCTGTACTTACTGCCAAATTGAACTCCGAAGTTTCGATTGGGGTCAACACCTCGACAGAAGCGAGTGAAGCGCATTGTTTTCCTTCTGTTTTTCCTCCATAGTCGATTCTAAAGAAAGAAGTGACACACATCGTATTGACCTAACTCTGTATTGTCATATAACTGCTTGGTTGAAAAGTGATTGATTATGGGCTATGAACTCGAAATGATTCCACTCTAGGGAGTGCAAATGACTCTGTCGAAGTTTCTACTTCTTACCGAATTCCAAGAATATTCATATCCATCAGGGTTGATCACAGGAAAGATGTACCAGTCGATCTTGTCGGTCATTCCTTCGGTGCTTGGCTTATCCGCTTGATCTTCGAGAAGTCGATGCGTCAGATACATAATGGTTGCGGGAGAGATCCATTCTCTGGCATGCATACCGCCATCGACGAAAATCGCTGGACGATCAGCCGAACCCGTTCCGATCTGTTTGGCCATTGAGGTCACGGTATTTCATTTGAGTGTCGCAGCGAGATCAAACAGGTAACGGTCGACGTATGACAACTACTATCGATTCATTTTAACGTTAGCTATTCTGACATTCAGCTTTGTGTGTACTGGAAATCATCATCATCGATCTCTGGGTGGCCGATTCGGTAAACGGAGCAAGGTTAGGATGTGATTGAATACAGTTATGCCAAACCATTGTCTAATTAATATTTGATATGATCAAGCAGATCGGATTAGTTGCGGTATTAACTTAGTTTTTCGTTGTTTACTAAGCTTAAAACTGCAACTTTTTTTTACCTTCTTTGAAATGTTGACAACAATACAGCAAGCAGATATAAGAACATACCTGAATTCTACCAGTGTTGCACATCTTCATTGCTAGAGTTTTTCCAGTAGAAAAACACGAGCTAGTAAATCGTCGAGATCGATATTTGATAGACCACAAACTCGTTTTAACAACAGAGAGAAACAGGGACAGCATACTGAATAGTGGGGTTAAAAATCTAATGCCCATAGAAACACGGCATTTTTTGCTACTCATAGGCCGACTAATATCTGTATAGAGATCCGCACGAAATCATCCTACGGATGCAGCTGATAACAGTCCGAGTCGCGACTTACCCGAATGCCTGTGATCAAACGCCCCTCTGATGTATCTCCCAAGACAAGCAATTTTGTATTATTAGAATGTTTCTGATGAAGCATTACAAGGGATTCATTGATCTGAAATATACAACCACAGGATCGCTTATAACCATAGTGCATCAAAGTTACACTTCGAAGTGTAGGACGTTGATTTCATCAATACGTGAAGATCTTCTGACTATTTGCCGATTTTCGACTAATTCCAATGTTTTAATGTACCATTTATCAGAAAAATAGACAATCTAACCAATTTCTGCTTGGCAGTATTTAAAGCAGAGTATCAGCTGCAATCGCCATTGTGCAAGTATGAATGATATTGTTAGAAGCCGGAACCAGCGTAGGCACAATGATTAAATCGTTCGAATTTAATATTGACGTATTGCTACCACAGACGGTGGTAATCAACAGAATGCCTGCACGGACCCCGGTAAATTTGCATTCAGGAAAACTGGCTACAGTTCCAAGTGCTACTCGCAGGACGAGTCGAAACTTCTTCAGAGTCCTTTTACGACTTATGCACTCCTGAGAAATCCGTAGAGTTCTATCAAACCGCGCACAATTTATCGAAATTTTAAACCATTACTTGTTCAACTCTCACACAGAGATTCATTTCTCTTCAACGGCGGACTACACGTTTGACAATAGCGACTCTTAAGAAAAAAACAAACTGTGTTAAAGTGATCACATTTGATATCGTTACCATTAGTCGAATGAGCCATTAGATAACGATCTCATCTCGTTTTTTGGATTGAAATGCTTCGTATGGCAAACTTCATACAAATAATTGAATTATTATTAAAACAATCGTGCTTCGATGAGACTCTCTGCCGGACAAGAGAAAACTAGGTGACTATCATTTTTATTATTTTTTCCGCTATATTCCAGCATTTGTAACCATCCAGACCAATACGCGGTCCATACTCGGCGCAATCTGCTCTATGCTTGAGCTGAAAACGTACCTCCTTTAGAGTGTGGTACATGCCGAGCTGAAAGGTCCCATCGCGAGCTCCCAATCCATCCTCATCTGCGATATTCTCCCTGGCTTCTTTATCGATCCATCTGAAAGTAGATTCAGCGTGCATGACGCATTTTGATGGGTTGAACGTTCCCTAATATCGAGGGGGCCGATATAAGAACATTGTTATATAAGGATATGAGGACACTTTCTGCTACTAACAAATGAACCCGCGAAATTTCAAAAAAATACATTTTTTGTGTGAACTAAATTGAGCGCGTTGAAAATATGTCGAATACGCCTGAGTTAGAAACATTTGATGTCCAAACATTTGTCAATTTGGAATCTTGTATCGTGAATGATAGTGTATTTTGAAATGATACTATGTTACAGTTTATTGCTTGTTAGCTTACTAAAAATATAACTGGTTACCAATCATCGCGATTTCATAAGTTTTTACGGTAACTAATGGAAGCATGTTTTTTTTCTTGTATCTTCATATTGATCGATCATTCCTGCTCCCTGAATCCCTGATGTTGCTCCACTTGTAATTAATGAAAATTTATATTTACATTCTTTTTTGCGTGGTAAACTTACAAATTGAGATAGAGAAATGCTGTTATCAAAATAGATGTTTATACCTTTGATAGTATCCTTACTAAGACGGCTGCCTTACAACAACAGCAATTTTCGATCAACTAATCAGATTCGATTCAGCTCAAAGTGTCAGATCTGACCGGCCCATTGGGCTGCTCTCTAGGAGCGGAGACTATGGTCTGAAGGTTTATCGAAATGAATAGGTAGATACTTAAGCTAGTTAGGACATTGTCATGACGGCTGTTTACGATTAACAGCTCTTTCTGGGGTAAAGTGGATGGTACAATGACGGGGGTGCAGACGTTTCATTTTAACAATTCTTGTTGGATTAAATGCTAATTTTGTAACGCTTTTATAGCTGCTCTCCACAGAAAATAATGCTTGCTTTTAATTTCCTTATATCCGACAACATACGTGTATAGACTAGCTCCAGTATGATGACTGCAGTCAAACCCCGCAGAAAAAGCTGAGTGGCGAGTTTCACAACGATATATACACACCACAGTGAAATATAAACCGGTATAGTGTGCACCAATATAAGCCACCTGCGTTCTGGCAGCAAGAGGAACGAAGTAGCAGTAGCAGCGTCAATTGCATTGCGTGTCATTGCCAAGCAATAATCATGAGTCGTGCAAAAATCCTCAACCTCATAAAGATCTCGTCAGGGTCAGTTTGTATGTTCCGCCACGGAGACAACTGGCAACTTTAACGAGTACAACTTAAGATGGACTGAGGTCCTTATGGCAAGCGTTTTGCATTCGCAACCATATAGTACTCTTGACCTTCATTACGATACTAAAAGGGAATAGGTGTCTGTACGGCAGCGCACGACTAAGCTAGAGTATGAACAACGGGGTTGTTTAACATATCTTTCTTCAGAAAACGCTGACGGAACTCGAATAAGGACTTCTAGATGCCGTATAGGAAGCATACCCCCCCCCCCCCCCGTGAAAAGTGTGAAACGCATTCAAAATTGTGGGGTGTCATTCCAGATTTGGGTAAGACGACAAAGTTAGTCTGGACGTCCAACAGCCTTCGACTGAATATCTGTCAAACTCATTCACTTCGGGAAACTTTCCTAAAATAGAGATTTATAGAGCAGAGAACAATCGATCAATGAGAGTTTAGATCAATAATACATGAATGTGAATTTCCTATAGTTAATCTATTATTACTTCTTGATTTACAATCAAGGTTATGAAGCATTTCTTACAAACAAAATTAAAGTTTATTCTGCATATTATACTTACTTGATGCGTTTATCGTCACACTGATTGATGATTATCATACTTTTTTTTTTCTACTATGCTGTACAATGCTTGAGCAGTTTTAATGAATTTCATAATAACACGTAGTAACTTTGCAGTTTTAAAGGTCTTTATCCAACAACTTGTAACAAAAAGCATTTGTACCCTTAGGTTTTGATGAAAGCTGCAACTGCACACACGAATCTATGCGGGCATCGTATTTATGACCTCGTTCCTGTCTACCTCTATACTAGTCTAGTTGGAACGTTTAATGGCAAGCAAAATGGTAGTCCCCACGTTTTCTTCTTGTTACGAATTTGTTATATCAAAGATATGTCGTTGGTTTTTTTCAATGTTGGTTACCGTTTCAATCAACTTGTCATGGATACTGTGTGACCTACGTTTGTAAGTCGTTGGTTAGTGTTGAGAAGGTGATATTCGCAGAGCGTAACGTTTTAGTGATTGTCTTCAACGTGGCCGGTGCAATACGTATAGTGATCTCTTGTCCAGTCAGACGCGGTTCATCCCAGAAATCGACAGATCTCGATCCATCAGCCCGTTCCGACCACATCTGCCAGAGTGCGAGTAACTTCTGTAGCTGCTGTTCGGAACCGATCTTCATCCGAAGTAATCGATGGCTATAAATTGTGCCGCCACACACAGGTAGAAAACACATTCACTTTTACATTCGGTTTAATGGACTATGTTTGAGTCGTTAGGTGACTCTACATGATAACTTGACCGGCTTCTATTGTACTGACAACGAGCTGGGTGTAAAATCAGATTCCGTTAAATTTGTTATAATTGTCCTTTTTTTTTTCATATGAGACATCTGCTCTCACGCAGAGGAAATTTTCTAAAATTCTAGGACGCATTTAACAAAGCATAGAACTTGTAGGAAAATAAGAATTAATTTAAATGCAACAGGGAACGAAGTCTCTATAATATACATTTTGATCAGTAACAGAAGCGGTTGCAGGTCCGGGCAGAGAATGGACCTGTGCCTTGCTTCACGCTATCGAAGCACCTGATCGAAAACATGAACACAGGCATTAGCAGAAGCCAGATAAACATTATATGAGCCTTTTTTTGATAACTGTAATCATATTGCTTATTATATAAGGGCTAATAGTCTGAATGTTACTACGGAAGCGGGGCACAGATTTAGACTTACGTGTAGTATGTCAAAATTGCGGTATAAATCTTTTTGGTTAGAACCGGTAAAGCCTTACAAGTCCTAAGGAAAGCATGAGCGATAAGAGACCATGCAGTGATCTCTGTAAAAATGACCCTAATCCAAGACTATATTTCCTGCTTGAAACACGAAAAGATACAGACCGAAACATCGAGCGCCATACTCAAACAACGGTACGCTTAGGTTCTATAGAGTAGTTCTTAGATATCCAGCGTATATTGGAAGGCTGTATTCATATCCAGCAACGAAGATATTCTTTCGCATCGCCGCTTCTGGTCACTGAATCTTAATGCAGTATTTCTGACAAACTTCATCAACAATATTCGGCAAAGGACCCCAACGTGGCGAAAGAAAGCTACAAAGCTAAAGAAACTATATAAATGATAACAAATACGGGTTCAGTCATCGAAGAATGGATAGCCATGTCCAAGTTAACACTATTTGGGCATCGAACGTGGCCAGAAGCCATCTATTCGACATGGGAAGAAATGAGTTTCGCTAGGTATAACAACAACAGAGATTTTACGATGACGGCCAATTCATCTACGGCAACGGCACAGGAGGCTCAGTATTGGCACTGATTTATGCAGAAATACTACGCACGAGATATACATGATATATAAATGCGCTGTGTCAAGTTTGCGATGAAGATATGCATCATAGTACTGAGATCTAACGCAGGACGCCAGCGTGAACAAACACCGTTAGCGCAACGGGGCCTGTCACATAGGACAAAGGTAATTGCCATCGGGATGGTACAACGGATTTCCTATCTAAATCATCCATTGATTTAAGGGCGCCGCTTGCTTGGGTGATGTGAAGCAAGGCTGCCTATATACAAAAAAGATATTTCTTATTATATTACACCAATACGAATTGGTACTTGGTTCTTTCAACGGAACAGTATTTAGGTAGGTATATAACGACGAAAAAATGAAAGACAATTTTCGAACTAATTGTTGGTTTAATTTCAAAATGAGATCAGCTCCGATATCGTTCTTCCCCTGCAAGTTCAGCGACTGAAGTCATTCTATTACGACATCTGTCTGACTCATTAACGGTGCTCCAGACGGAACGTTTATATAGTCTTATTTTTCGAATTCAATAGGTTCATCCGAATATTGTATTCCGAAGATGTACATACAGCTATGATATTAACTACGGAACTTCATAGCTGTACGGAAATCAACATGTCCTCGACATTCAACCGCCCTTCCTTAATTACTTACCCACGGTATCGAACAACTTCGTTGCAAGGATCCTGCTTGCTTTGCAATACTACTTGCTCTGTTTCTACTATGCACTCTCTATCTTGATCACTCACAGCACATCGAGACCCCAAAGACTCGTGGTAGTCGTCGACCGCCAGGGCACCGAAACACAGTATCGTCAGCCCGAACGATGCCGCAGACACTGCCCGCATCTTGGCCAGATCCCAGTGCAATCCGACGAACATCAACTGTAAAATTCAGTCACTCTATAGGCGTCGCCGTATAGTATAAAGTCGAGTAGAAATTATGTTTGGAGCCAGTTATTACTAATTTCTAACGCATCATCGATCGACAGAGCGAAAAGGGGATTCCTAGCAAGCTTTGAGCTTCGTTTGTATTTCTTGCTGTTTGTCATCTTCCAACGGGATTTTCTGCTTCTTGTTCGGCCTTTCCCTCGCTATGGCAAACGCACCGTGGCTGATAGCCCTAACAGGAAAGACCGCTTTCAGTTTTCGTTCGACGGCTCCAATCTTCCTCATATTACATCAATTTACTACTGCTACTTCTGCACAGTCTCGCTACGGGCTTAACAACACGTTCGGCCAACTTGCTCATCGGCCAAAGAGCGCACAAGCGGTCGTGCAAGCTCGCTGTGTCGCGACCCATGGTTTCTCACTGGCAAAACGTTCCCACTTGTCACGTGTCTTCCTCGCCCAGGTCCACCCTGGGTAAGCATCATGATCCTCTCTTCCTGCTGCTGCTGCTGCTTTCGCCGTTGCTGTTATCTCGTCCGTTACGTTATGATGTCGCGCCATAGATACTTGTTTCTTCAAGACTGGCAGAACTGTCTTCACGATAGCACGTGAATCCAACGTCGCTACGACTGATGCTAATGCCAGCGGCTTCTTCTATGTCCCTTCTGCATCTAAAGATTGGATCAGCGCTGTCGCCTCTGCTACAAAAGTCGTCTCACTGTTTTCTACGCGTTTTCATCTTATTCGTATAAGTTCGTAATAGCTTTCAATGAAGTCGACTACCAGCATCCATTAGATACAACAACAGTAGCAGCGTACAGTCAAACGTAGGCGACGCTAACATGGGAAGTTGGAAAAAAATGTGTTAATACGCAAATGAAATCGAACAAAAAAAACATAAAATCTCGTAACGGAGTTTAAAAAAAGAAACAAATTTGTGTCTTTAAACAACGCTTTTTTAGTAGTTTGGGTTATTTCGAAATTTTAGCGCGGTTAATTATGACAAAGCAGAAGAAGGATGGGGAAAGCTAGGTGGACAGAAAAATGGACGACACATTAAGGCTTATAAAAGCAGTGCACTTCCTGGAAGATAGCGAAATTTGAGTTTTCCTATTGTGACAACACCTAAATGCTTCGAGCTTTCACCTTCGGTTTTAGGTGAGTATTGCTAAACACAACTGGCCCCTTCCGGTACAAAACGAAGTGTCTATGTTTAATTGAAGACATCTAACGAATGTATAGATGATTCAGGGGGGCAAAACATGCCAACATTAGCATCTGATGAAGGATACACAGCTTACTAATTAAATAAAAGACAAATTATCTCGCATGTTTTCAGATTTCTTTGCTCCTAGCTAGTACGATAGCCTTAAATATTGTACGTTCGGTTCGTCTGTTTAATTATCTACGCAACCTTGTGGCTTAGATCTCATAGTTTTCTGTGATAAAAGCTAAGATGACATCTCCCAAACGTATACAGAGTTTTTCATTTTTGGATCTTCAATTCTAGTAGTACCGGTGTTACGATCAGTTCATTTTATCCGATGTAGCCTGAATGGTTTTAAAAAATAAAAAAAAAAACAATGAAAACACACGAATATCTATCTAAATCCGATTTAGCATTTATTTGACCATAGGTCCATGTTTTTTGCGGCTATTAGCTGTTCCTATGGCAGCCATTCTGCTTGTTCACGATCATCATGTGTAAACAATATACTTGTTAAGTTTCGTTGAAACAAAAGTATAAGGCGTGCCTACCAGGTATAATTTTTATTTAGAGAACAATGGTTTTATAAATGACTGACTGGTTCTATCATATATAAGTACGTGTTAAAGAAAACTCCAGGCCGGCGGGCGGAATTCAAAGTAACCATAATCTTAGCAATTTATTTCGCTTTTAATAGCCCATACATAAGTAGCTCATAGGAATGGCAAATAACATGTTTCTATTTCCTACATAGTATTCGTTCATTATTTAGACGGATAACTTGCTCTTATCGAGTAATCAATAACGCCTTGGGCAGGCAGGCAGGCAGCTGTGTAACACCGCGGTGATCGCTTGGTCGAACTTCAGGCGCTCTCAGATCAGTCGTGACGAGTCAAGGATTGATCTTTTTCATTAAAACGGCTCCGTAATAGCTTTACGCTGTTACTTTTCGATTGTAAATGTTGAAAAATACAGTTCCTGAAAATGCCGAAGAACATTCAATAATCATCCATAACCGACTAATGGAAGAATAACGGAAGAGTATGAGAAGGTTATTTGGACAAAGCTCGCTTGCAGCCAGCTATAGTCGCCCTAATGACAACGTTCTATGCATGAAGGAGACGATATTGTTTATTATCAGACAAATCCTATTGAGATTACCGGCAATCGCAAGCAGAGGGATAAGCCAAAATGAATTGACGTTTCCGAACATTTCAACGGAGTCCAGCTGATCGTCTGGCGATTCCTCTCGTTCATAGAGTCGGCTCAAAATAATCGACAGGAGAGATTCAAGGGAAAATACGCTGTCACACAGTTGCTCTGAAATACGTAAGTTAACAAAAGTCATTTGGTTTAAAAGGTGATGTAGTGAGTTCGAAGTTTCCGGGACCTGTTTTTTTCGGCTTAGTTCATTTGTTATTGACTATATAGACTACAGAAAGCATGCAATCGTAACCTCTGCATTTTCACTACCGAAATTCTTGCAGTACACCTCTATTTACTGATCCTAGCTGCCTAGTCTTTTTTTCCAATCTTACAGTTGTTGGTAGTACGATATATATATATATATATATATATATATATATGTAGAGCTGTATAGATGCCACAGGACTCGCAAAGTTATAGAAAGCACTAACACCTACCTTGGAGCGCCGAACAGACAGTTATAAGCATCGGCGACTATACATTTGCTTTAGGGCGTTGTTCTGCCGATTCAATTGCATTCACACACTGATATAATTCCAAAAAAAAATCAATTTTTAATTATAAGTCACAATTCGGGATAAGAATGAATCACTGAAAGCCTAAAGAAATCAAAGTAAGCGTCTCTATTTTTATCTTCCCTCGAATCACGCAGTAGCCATTTGTCTACTTCTTTACCTCATTCATTTCGTTGAGGTGAACACTTGTACTATTTACAGAAATACTAAGTATTAGCATAGGGGTACCTCGAGATTGGCCGCCTTTTACTACAGTTTTCAACTCTTTGTTAAGCATGTGCACAAGAAGTCTTCTAGGGAATCTGTATAGGAGTTCGAAATTTCTTCCCCCGGTTCTTCAATCCAATAGGTTGCAGTGTTTCTCGTAGCAGAACCCTTACCAAGTACAAAGGATGTATAGCAAGGCGTCTACGCCGCTGTAGTTTCAAGACTAAACTCAAATTTGTAAATCATTTCTAAATCTTTTTTTCTAGCCAATCTAAAAATTTTTTCCCTAACTCACTACTGTTTGTCTGCGCAAAACCCGAATGCTAATATGAGAGTGAACGGTCTCAGACCTGAAATTGTGTAAATAATGCATTTTACGTACAAAAAAATGTCGCGAGATGTTGCACCGTTTTAAAAATGGCATCATTTCTTGCTGATCAACCACTATAGATGACATTTGCTGAGAGAAACAGCCCTTCAACATTTTGGAATCACTGAGTCTTACAAGCAGTTAATTGAGGTATTTACTGGCAAATGGAAAAGCTACACTGGTTCATTATTGCTTCATGCGACATTTGAGTTCCGTAAAGCTCTGCTCACGCCGACCCTGGTCTGATTTCCGCACAGATCAGAGAGAGTAGATGCCGACACTTATCATTTAACGCTATGCCATGTATAACGAAAGGTGTTACGGCATACGGTCAGTTAAATGCACACTTGGGTGCCAGTCCAGTATAGTCGATTTTATTTCGTTGTAAAGGCAAACGTTTTACATAAAAATCGTGTCAGACGTGATGAAAACAATGGCTGAACTCAGGGGATTTGTCCTGTTCCATGTCTTCTATGAAAAAAAAATGATACGAAATCTGGATTCCACTGAACTTCTATTAATGACATTTAGTTGTTGTATTCTAAAGTGGCTAGTGAAAATAAACAGCTGTTCTCTCCCCTACATCATGCGCAATGGGACATAGTTACTAAAGAAGTGTCAATATTTTTATGCCATAATATTGTACTAAAGACTATCCATGAGGTGTTCTCACGGAGGGAACAATGCGGACAGAAGGTGATTATTTACGTTCATTCTTGATTTTTCTATATAGCTAAAATAAACTTGCTTGACCCACATACAACACTGATGGTAACGTGTGATCCACGTTTCAGCCTGGAACAGATCGATGGGTCATATAGACAAGAATAAAAGTGGCATGCAAGAAGATGAATCGCAAAAAAAAATTATTAAGTTCGATTCAAGAACGCCACAGGAAGCTTAAGATCAATCCATTATATATCTATTATATGTATCCGCTAAACCGGAACTATTGGTGTTGCACCTGTCGAAAAGCACAAATTGCTCCAGAATACTGTAGGTAGGCTGGGAAAGATGTCTCCAGACGGAACGGGGACCACACATACCTGTTATTAGCCTGGCTGTCCTAGTACCAGGACGTGGGTATCTTGTCGACCGGAGTCGCCTTTCCGTTGGCTAACGTCTTAGAGAGTGTCCTCTCGATTTCGGCAGAGCCTTCGCAGTCGGCGTCTACAATGGAACGGTAAAGCGAACATTCATTCCAGTCCACATTAGTGGTGTGATACCGGTGAAATGTTGAGAAATCGACAAATGTTATGGATGATATCTTTGATGTTGTTGCCATAGTGGTGTTTGCTATTTAAATTCAAGTAAGCACCTCACCTATGACAAGCATATAAAAATTTAGATTGTTATGAGACTAACTGAACGATGCCTAAAAGGTAATTTTTAGCATCACAAAAATGACTGTAATCGTCTGACATAGCGGTGAAAAATGTCAAGTAACATGCTTAAAATTGTTTGTCAGATAGTGCTCAGAGCTAACGCAATATGTTTAAGGCAAAACTATAAGAGAAAAGCTCAAAAACGATTACATTATAACGGCTATTGCTTCATTATCGATGCAAGGTTCTCGCATGGGCGAAGCGTTTTACTCGAAATTTTCGATCCTAACTTCAGAGTAACGCACCTTCTACGAAGCGACTTGTACGACTACGACCACCGGAAACAGCTCATTTCATATACTTGAATTCAGTCTGAAGAACCTATGGTAGGCTCTTGAGCCTAGAACTTCTGACCAGAAGTGACCGCATAAAAGTTTGGGAAAAAGTTGGAGAACACACTTGTGTGGCTATAGTATACATATAACGATATGCAAGACGCATAACGACCCTCAGAAACAAGCCCACTCGTTCTAATGTCAAATCGAACGCCAATGCCTCAATGTATCCAGCCGATTACGCCTAAATCCAGTTCTTATATTGCAAAAAAAGCAACGGTTCAATCGCAAGTAATGGTTGTGTCCTATTATTTTTAGTTAGATCCCGCACGCAATATTTTTCAGGGTACTAATGTTGTATAATTAATTAAATCGAGTACATGCCTATAGTCAACGTTGGGGCGATTGACACGGACTGGCCAGACGAACGGGAACATATGTTTGCTTTTAACCCTCGAGCTCTAGAAACGAGAATTATGCCTCTCGTCCAATTGGGTTTCCATATATATATATTATAAAAATTCAATCTGCTAAGCATCTACATTCACTTTGCAAAGATGTATATGACCCTGCGAGAGTCTGTTTGGAATATTTACATTACGCAAACAGGGTAAGTATAAAAAACAAAAAGCAATTGTAGGGCAAGCTGCTGGTTAGGTGTTTACTGAATTTGACTAAAGACACTGATTTCCATTTAGCAATCGTACTTGGCATTCTGTGCTTATGATCCTGGTGTCCGGCTCACTCCATCGTTGGTGAAGTGTCTCGCACTCTCCTTATTGTGTGGTATTGAGGAAAATATTGAATAACCCTACAATGACTTAATTTTCCGCATGAGTTGTTCCTATGCGTCTATAGATCCTGCTGCCAGAATAGACTGCGAGTTGGGCGGGCTTCGTTTGCTTAATTTGTTTTTATTGGTAGGAACAAGTGAACGGTGGCGGTTTTTGTAACTAGAATGTTCATATATTCATTCTTTTTGTGTCTAATGGCCCATGTTAATTTTAAATTAATACAAGAAGGAGAATTCTAGCGTACCTGTTACGAGCTCCTTGATTCTGTTCACGTCTTTGGCTGACAGGTACAACTCAAGCTTAACATTGCTACGGGGCGCATGTTTCGGAATTTTAGCCTGCTCAGAAAGAAAAGCGCCAAGTTAAATTTATATGGGCGTATCTCCTTTAGGAAACACAATGCGAAACATAAAATGAAAACTGCTGAAACCCACCCATCTCAACAACCTAACACGTTCATAGCGAAAAAATATAGCTTAGATTTTATTTTTTTACGACTTTCTTCTATAATGGGTTAGGCTGGCTTAGAAGGCTGTAGCATCAATTTCTCAGTGTTCATTTGTAATGGGTGGAACAATATCTAAGTGGTGCTACTCAGCCGCGTAGATATAACAGCATACGAAGCTTTTGGCTGTCACCATTCTGCCTGTAGTCAGTGCGTTCTAAGGGTACTAAAACACTGTCAGAAAGGTTCTGTTTTTTTTTTGGCACAAACCCGATCTTTTGCCAAGCCCGTCATTTGCCTTATAGTGACTCCCCATCGAGACAAACTCACCCATCAGAGATTACCAAAATCGTTCATACCGCTTTCGAGATCATCGACATTAGATAGTATACTATATATATATATATATATATATATAAACTATGTTTTAGTTCAGCAGCTTTCTGAGATAAGAGAGCAAGACAAAATTATTATTATTATATGTAAAATGAGCTTTTAACTTTGATCATACAAGCCTTGATCAAATAATGTTGCTTTTTTACTGTAAAATGTGCATCGATTGAGCCGACCCTCAATAGGCCTATGAAGTATCAAGACGGAAATCTTCACTGGTAGGGAGTTTCAGCTAGCTATAACATAAATCGAATATATGCACAATAAACAGAGCTGCTGCGTAATGGTAAGTCTATTCTTTACTTTATTGACAAGCGTTAGAGCAAGTCTTCGTAGATAGATGAACTCGCGGTCAGTGCAGGGTTCGTCGTAGCTGGTGTTAATAAGTTGGCGCAGCAGCTGCAGGTCCTTTAGCTTTTTCTGACAGGTGATAAGTTCCTTGCGCTGTTCTCGGCATTCGTTGCGCTCTCTGTAAAAATCACAATGCGAGAACTCGTAATAATTACTTACGCCATGTACTCAATAGATGGACAACCTACATATATCGGATCAGAATGTAATAGCTTGGAACTAAAATTCACCTTAATGTTAACACGGGATCTAATTAAAATAGCTGGCTTTTTGACTGTAACGTTATGTGTTGAAAGCAGTTGGATTTATCGTGGACTATTAGAACAACAATAGCGTTTAAACCGATATGGTATTTTTTTTTATCGTTGGCAAAAAATTGGCGAGAATGAAGATGTTAGAAGCACACGGGTACGAGTGAACCGGTATGCAACACGTCCTAGCGACACTTCAAGCACGTCATATGAACTGAAAAAATATAAGGCATGTCTGATAACAGTCGGATACTCGTCTCTGCCTATGGAACCATCTTTATAAATAAGCCCATTAAACTTTTTGCTTTTCTTTCGAAAATTTCCATGTTTCGTTAAATGTTCTTGATGTACTATACTACACCCTAGCAAATAGGCTAGGACTCTGACTCTACAACTTTAGCCAACCTTAAAATGAAAATGGTTCTCGAAATTAGGCACACTTACTGCCTTGGACGCAAGTCTGAACGGCAGTGAATATCTAAGAAAGGGCGTGCAATATAACTCGGCGATCTTGCCATGCAGTTTCCTTAATAGAAAGCCAAAATTCATGGAAGAGTACCCTTCCTACAATTGAAGTCCGCTTATTATCAAGTCTTTAATTTTAAGAGTAACTAGTGTCAATGAAAGGTTTCGGCAGTATGGCATAAATGTAATAAATAAAATGATATAGTTGAAGAAAATCTTTAACAGACAAAATGCATTATGAGTTAGAAAAAATCATACCATATAGGATAATATATCGAACACTAAAGGCTCTTAACCACTCAGTCAGTGACTTTTAACGTCGTTAGTGCTTCATCCATACCAGACAAGTGACGTGGGTCTCAGTGCGACCTTGTTAAGACCCATGTCACCTAGCGCCTGGTCCATTATATTGCTTCTGTAACCTCTCTGGCTTGCTGTATTTAGCCAAGCATTGTTTAACTGGTCAGCGGCCCGTAACTCATTGGCGCTTGCGAAGAAGACGCCGAGGTGTATACAAACCGAACCGATAGTTACAGAAGTAGTAAGAAAAAACTTACCACATGCGTCGAGTAATTTTACAAACTTTATACCAAACAGGTTGCGATTTTCTGAATGCACTAAATATATTGAAATAGCAACTATTTCGGCCACTGGTCTGTCGGCTTTAGACACCCATGATATGGCATAACATTCTGTATACATGCAGATACATTTTTCTATATACTGCGACCTTGGAAAGGATCTATTTATAGAACGGTAAAAGAAGGTCTTTGTTTTACCTACTGGCAATCCTTTTTCACTAAAAGTGACATCTCCTTTAATCAGCACTCACTGTTTCTCCCATAGCCACTTCTACACTAATTTATTGAGATACCAATGTTAACGCTTAAATTTCTTCAACGATAAGCTCTTAACGACACAAACCGGGTGCTTAGTGGACGCACAACAACCGCATCATCGTCGCTGCCATCACCTCTGCTACCATGCTCGTCGCCATATACCTTAAGGCTGTGTCCTGCCTTCGATATAAACATATTTGAGGGATCCAGCCAATTCTCATCTCGAACAATTTCATCTTTGAATGAAAGATCTTCCGCGTTTGCACTCAGCGCCACGAGAGTCACGCTCAGGAGATACAGTTTCAGCACTAGAGCCATTGTAAGGTAGAATATCCAGTAAGCACCAAGCGTAGTCTCAACACGTTACTGTCTTCCTTACTCTTTATCTAGACAAAAATTAGGCTTGAGAGTAAGCAACCCTTCCGAGGCCGGAGTTCTGCACTGCGGCCTTATGTCGACTATCTCGATCGCCCGGTGCTAGGATCTCCAGCCCGCTAACAGCTTTGGCACTAGTGGTCTCGCACGGGAGATTTCGGTCCAGGGGAGGGTAGTCATCGACCGTGTGTGCGTGAGCAGCTATTAGTGAGTGAAGAGCGGTTAAAGTTGCTAAAGAACAACCTAGCGTTAGGCATATAAACCGTTATGGCAAGTACATAGAGCTTAACTTCCAGAAACTCGGAATTGCAATAACAGGGTGGGGCGAGGTATGCCGCGAAATTATCGATAGTATATTGAAGAGTTCAGTGCAATACAATGTTTTGAAAGTATAATTGCGGTTTTGGACTACTCTAAAAGCTGGACCAGCTCGCAAAGGCTGGCTATATTTCAGCTAAGCTTAATTAAAGCAATAGGGACTGTAATAGAGAAGATTGTCTTATATAACGCCGTCGGATATCGGGTTAGAGGCGATTCCAACACAACTCCACGCATTACGGGGCCCGAAGACTTGCAAATACTTTTTTATTAACGCTTATTGACACGCTTTTATAATAACGTGTAGTGTAAATGATACTGTGTTGGGTGTACACATTATACATATATTAACGTTTAAGCTACAAATTGTACAGAATAATTACTGTTTATTATGCGTTTCGAGTAAATTTTCTATCACAATCGTAGCTAAATTTCATCGTAAATTTAGCCAGGCAAATTTGTCCCTAAGCAACTTTAGTAGGGTTCAATACAACAGCGAGCTTAAGCTGCGATACGAACTCAATGCATCAAAACGCGCAATATTTCAAAAATTCCAAAGGTGAAATGCTATTACTACCTTCTAGATTATGTGCACTTCGGTCAACAGAGTACCAATAGGCTTAACGGTAAAACCTCGTTTTATAATATTTACACAAATTTTGGTATTTTATTATATTCAAATAGAGTACGCGTTGTTACTATATATGCGAAGCTTACAAAAAAAGACAAGAGTTGATTAAATTATCACAAACTTCGTTCATCATTGTAATAACAGAAGTACGCGAAAAATCAATCTGTGGTAGTATCCGTCCGACACAATTTTTCGTTTGTTTTTCAAATGTAGCTACTAATACAGTCAATTTGGGCATAAATGGTAACTTCGACTGTTCGCACATATTTTATCATGTACAATCTGTATCTTGTAATATTTAGCAATTTCTGGGGGAATGATAATTCTTGCTTTCCTCGACTAAAGAATGGTAAAATGCTAACTAGGAAGATTAATCTCAACAGGCTTGCACGGGGCCTTTACATCCGAATCGTATTCCATGGTCATCCACGACCGACCTTCATTACGAGTTCAGAATTCAGTCTTAATGGAGTGCTCCTCAAGTTGGCGTTTTGTTACATGTGTGTTGATTGCCCCTTTAAATCTTACGGACGATCGTCCCTTTACAGACACCGGTAAGAGTTATTCAGGTTTCTCAAATTTCAATCTACCACCAAACAACGGGGCCGGATTATAGAAGTAGTGATTATCTAAATGCCCCATATTGAATGTACTACATTGCATCCGGCCCTTGTCGACTGATTCCCAATCGACAGCTCCTGCTTCTAAGGCATCGGCGTTAAATTTTTTGTACGGCAATTGAAGAAACTCTTCTTCACTGCGTAAATCAGCTACAGGCGGTTCGACCGACTGCGTTTTAAGTGTTAGCTGATTGGCATTTTGTCGTCGGGCGTGCTTCATTTTTCGATGTCTTGTAAACGCTGGCCTTGATTTACCATGCCGAAAAATGCCTGAACCATAACCACGTTCATAGGGCAGGCGTGGTTGCTCCGTGTGTTGATGACGCCAACCTTCGGCGATAACAATAAAAATCATTAGGATGACCCATACAGAAATATGCATTTTTGAGCTAAAGGCACGGACCTAGCGAGTACTGCTAACTCTACGTCGTTATCACCAAAAATAGGTACATCGTAGTCAACGTAAAACAGTGCCCGGCGAATCACAACAGAGAAAATAGCAAAAATTAGCATTATTAATCGGTTCAAGCGTACACACATTATAGCTATGATGTTCTATTCAAAGGTTTTGTACTCTCGAGTCAGATTCTAATATAGTATCTAGAGCTTCATGCCGACACCTTACGTACATATATATATATATATATATATGTGAATTTACTTATAGTCCTAATTGATTTAAAGTAAAGTTCGGTATTGCTCAGTGGTGAAGTTTCGCATGCACCATTTAGGTAGTCGGAAACAATTAGACGTCACATGAAGTTCAGTAGATAAAGTCCGCTATGACAGGCGTCAGTACGTTGTGTACTCATTTTGCTTCAATGGTAAGTGATGCGTTATCGCAAAATGTTTAGGCGGACATTCACGGAGAAAAGCATATTACAGATGAAGTTCACTGACGCAAACTTTAAGTCTTCGATGAAGATTAATCAATAGAGATGTAATAATAATAGAGATAGTAATTACACGAATCCTTGGAGCGAAGTACATATCACTCCTGTTTTTATTACCAACGAGTGCACATTAATATTATCTAGACGAAAGGTATCTCTTCATATTGAGTTTTGAAAGTACTTCCCTTTTCTTTGAAACCCCACCGCCGTTACCTTTCGGTCACAAAAAAGTGCTACTTAGGTTTAGAATGGACTGTTTTGACAAGATTTTAACCTTCTAATCAACGAAGAGCTTTATAGGAAAAGGAAGAGGAGGAGGAGGGGGAACAGGAAGAGGAAGTGTTATAACATAACTTATTAAAAACATCTTTGAGAACTTCAGGTATCGTGAATTGGCGTAGTTTAGGGACAGCCTACTTTGAGGACCTCATAGAACTCGGATGTTAATGTCGGACATAAAATTAACATCTATATCCGACAAATATTATATTTCTTTGTGGTACAAAATGAGCTGGACATGGGTGTAATAACTGGCTGTAATGCGAGAAACTTGACCCGCTCTATTGCCACTATGATTTATTCCAATATACCGGGGCAATACGGCAATTTTGGGGCAAACCGATATAACAGACCGGTATAACACATACATAATGAAAGGGACAGTTCAAAAATAGTAGTTGGTTCCAATTAGGCAAGAAAACAGTTGAAAATACGAGTATTACATGTAGTTCTACGTACTTTATCGTTAAGTTGGTCTCGCGGCCCCCCGAAGAATAAAATGCCCCAACCAAGTATATTTAGGTGTATCATCAAAAATGTGATTAAGATTGAAAACAAAGAAAAAAAAATAAAAAAACAGAAGTACAGAAGTTGATATGCAACTCTCTCGTTTAGGCCGGGGGACGGGGGGGACCGGAGGGGTACTAATAAAGAAATCTAGCATATTTAAAAGTGTGCCTTATGCATGAATAACCATGAAAGACAGCTTTAATGCGTCAGTTTCATATGAAACTTCCTTGTACTTTCTCAACGTTGAAGTGAGCTCGTCTCAAACTATGATCACTCTTGCTGGTATAGCAGAATAGACAACAGGGCAAGAACTTCTTCGATGGCTTTACGTAAACGGATAAACGGATAAAAGTTGATGGATGAAGCTCAGACCGAGACTAAACTAAAATTACAAATATAAGTAACAACCGTTTTAATGTTTACGTGTAATACCGCCATTAAATACTCCAGAGAGGAGTGTAGATAAGTTGCAAGCCACGAGATTCTAAAAATGACTAATTTAGCTTACCCCTGATTGTAGCGCCATAAATAGTACACGAGTGAAATTTCAATATTTGTTTCCTTTTGTGGCATGCTTATATGGCTACACTACCTGGTCAAGAAAGTGCTTGCAAAAACGGGTTTTGGTCTATTAAAGGTCGATTCATAATCAAACCTATGGCACCGTAGCTTGTCTGCCGGTCAAATTTTAGAGTACGCCAACATGTTCTACGGTTATTGCGTATTGCTGTTCGCTAAAGTAGAGCTGAGCTCATAGATCGCAACTCGGGGCTTATGCACCACGGGAATAGAATGCTGCCAGTCAGCTAAGTGCTTTCGCTTGTGTAGCGCTCGCGATGACTTTTCTTTGCAAAACTCGAAAAACACCTAGAAGAAAAGAGCTTCGAGACTATTGACAAAACCCAAAAGAAACGAATGTGACCCCGTATTCCAGGGTTTGGATTCTGAAACTATTTCGACAACTCGAAAACAAGTCTAGCGATGCGTCGAATCAAGAGGGGACCTGTTCGAAGTTGAGGTTGGGGTTTAGACAACAAACCCACATGCAATTAATACAGGACTACGTTCTGAACACCTGCCGCGACGCATAAAAAGTGTCTACCTAAAAAATAGCTCCGCTTTATCTGCTCTAAATATAATGGTATAATCCTGTTTTTTTTTTTCTTAATATTATGTGGTTGTATGCTGTATTAGACGTTCAAAGAAAGAAACGTTTGTTTTTAACGCATTCAAAAAACGTAAGCTTGTAACTTGCGTTTCTATTAGAACGACTTACATGGTATGTTTATGACTACTTCTTAACGCTCCGTACATGCAAGGACGTCTTCCTATATTTATATGTAATTTGAATTCTCATAGAATTACACGGTTAAAAATGTTTTGTGGATTGATAACGTATACTATAAAAGTTAGTCAGATAGAGTTCAGCTAAATTACAGGAGAATGAATAAGATTTATGAAGAGGATTACTTACCAAAATCATTAACATTTTTAGAAGAGAAAACTACACGCAAGCGAGACTCATCAAATTAAACAAGCTTTTAAAGCATAACAATAATAACACAAATCTTGTAATACCCTTTTAAAATATTGTCAGCATTGTTGCTTTCGGCTTCGACAGAAGTGATTTCTGAAGTAAACTGGCTCTTTATTCTTAAAGATAGGTTTAACCCTACGATGAGTCACACCATCAACCAACAGAACAACTTCACCCCTTACTCGCCGGGTGACAACGTGGCGCAATCTGTAGCCCGCGTGTTCATATAGGCGATATTAATTTTGATCTACCTTGAGGATCTACCTTGCAGCTTGCTGGTTCAATCAGCGGCAACTTATAACCCCAGTTAACAAAAACTTAGGGTCAAATCCAATAAACTTGAAAGCCAACTTAAAAAGGAGTAAAGCCCTAT